ACAGGGTCTATTGTTGCGGGGGGATCCATTGTTGCTGGTGGGGAATATATTGTTGCTTGGAAGTTCTATTGTTGCTGGTGGGGATCTATTGTTGCTGGGGTGGATTTTATGTAGCAAAGGGGTTAATTGTTGCTGGCATGAATCTACTGTTGAGGGAGGGGTCTATTGTAGCTGGAGGGTTTATTGATGCTGACTGCTAATAGATCTAATGTTGCTGGTGGGCATCTATTATTGCTGGGGAGCATTTTGTGTGGGGGTCTTTCATTGTTGTGGGTGTCTATTGTTGCTGGAGGGATCCATTGTTACTGGTTGCAGAGGAACTATTTTAGTGCTTTTCTTATCAATAACAAGTTCCATAAAAATTACTTAGAACCACGAAATGATAGTTGGTTCTGTATTCTCTAAAAGGGGCAGTACTGTGAGGTGGGCTGGAGGCGAAACCAAGGAATGGTGTTCAGAGGTGGGTAGGAGGCAGAGACAAGGGGTGACTTGTAACAGGAGAGCACTTATTACGTAAGGGGAAAAAAGCCCTGACTGTCTCTGTCCATTTTGTACAGCACTGCGCAAACCGTTGCCACTATATAAATCCTGCCTTATATTATTAACTAGTTAGATACTTGCAGTTTATAGACTCCTCTACAAAAAACATCTGCGGTGTAAAAATCTACCACCTACATTACACTTTCACTTTCTTGTTTTTTTCAGCTTTCGATTTAGGCTCCACAACAAAGAAACAAAGAAACCAATCATACTTCATAATATATGTTGAATATACTTTTTTTTTTTTGCTTAGTAGATATGTGTACCTGTGCCGCTTCTTTTGTGTCTTAACAATATAATACAAAAAAAACATAATAGAGCCTCTATTGGGTATTTTCAAACCAAAGATTCATACTTCATACATCTGTATAATTTTGTTCCTTTCCATTTTCATCAATTCCGTTTCATCAGTGATAACAATTGCCGAATAATATTATGTTTTGGTTGGAGGTCATATAAATAAGAAATGATTGCAGAGACTGAAGGAAGAGAGTTCATATGGCTCATCCATAACCATCTCAGAAAATGTGAACTCGAGGGCTGTGTTTAATATTGAGCTGGATTAGAGAACCATTAAAATGTTTCTCGGAGTGCACAAGAGCACAAGAAGACTGTAAGCGATCATTATAATAGATAATAATCTTTCTTTGTACACAGCTGCTTACCCTGCTTTGTGTCAGTTGCGTGTCACTGGATCTGTGATTGCCATCTCCTTCCTTCATTACTAATTATTTGCTGGCATATCAGGCGCTTTTGTATAGCACACATGCTAACATCACTTACATGAACTGATGAACTTTGTAGAAATTAGATTTCGGCATGATGACATTCAATAAACGGCAAGGACAAGCTTTTTGGTTTCCAGGTGTGAAGAAGTGAATAAATATAATAAATGTTTCCCAGCTTCGGAGATCTATATATAGTACCTGGTTTTTGTACTTTTGGTGAATGCAGCAGCTGTGATGCTATAATGGGCTGGATGCATGAAAGGCTGGAAAGCTGCACAGTATTCCCACTTAGAATTATCATTTAAAGCTGAGCTCCTGGCACATACAAAAACACTAATTAATGTAGTTATGGATTTTTATCAAAAAATCATTTTTTAAATGCAGTTAGTGTAAGTGCCTGAATTTCTGCCAACATCTTCCTCTTGTAATCACCTTTTCCATTAGTACTCAGGGGCGGCACTCGGAATCAGGCTTTGCTGAATGTGCTGACAGTACACATGCACACAGGAGAGAGCAGAGGAAGACCGGAGATTACCTCATCTGTCTGCTGCTGCATCTACAGCCAATCTCCAGGCAGGGGTGTGGTTTAGGTCAGGGGAATTGAAGTGCCCATTTACATATATGTGGATTGGATGTGGTTTAAAACCGTATTCAATCCGCATGGCATGTGAAATAACATTGCTTCCTATGGTGCCTGTTCACATATGTCCGGTGTTCGGCCGGTACAGATTCAGTGCGGTTTTAAAAAGAGTCATGTCCAATTTCCAAGTGTGATGATTGTGCTCAATAAAGGCATGGACGCTGTACATGACAAACCATCTTGTTAGGTCGCAGCCATGTTGTCTCTCCTGTCCTCCCTTCCCCTCCTCCCTTTTGAATGGAATGTGAGTCTGTAAGTGAACAGAGGTCAGGAGTTCCTCTCGTCCTAGATAAACACAGCTACATGAGCTCCATGGCTGTAAACCACTAATTAGTCTGGTCCCAGGGGATTTTCTTTGAAAAACCACTTTCCACTGCCCGGTCGTAAAACAATAACTCAGTCAGTCATGACCTGTTAGGCCATTAGGGCTAAAGCATGCCTAAAACGTACATTCCACATGAGTCATTTTTCATACAAATTCATACACTTCAGCAGGAACTGGACACATTAATATGAAGTACATATTCGGATAGGTCATTTTAATATGAGTCAAACGAGACCTTGCATGTCTATATCAATACCTACAAAAGAACATAGAACAGTCTCTTTTATCCGGAGTGGCAGGATACAGTATGCTAAGTTTAGTATCTGTGCGTTCGGAATATAATTCTAAATATTGATCTGCCAGTTGCTAGGATGCTACCTGTACCTATTGAAGGTTATTGACCTTAGTATGAACTTGGAAGGGATTTGGTCATAACCTTGGTTACCGCCTAACACCCATCCCCAAACTGGATGATTGGTCATTTGTTCTCAGGAGACACCCCTTTGAGATGATAGAAAAAGACTGACAGCCTGGAGAAAAATGAGCTTTCCTTTTAACATCGATCAGGAACCACCTTGAGAGCAAAGGCAACCTTTTGTTCGGACACTTGGACTCTGCTCAAACCAAGGACTTTTGCAAGTATTCTGCCTTCTGAATTTCTTTTATTTCTCTAGTGGTCTCTTCTGCCATAAATGTATCTCCTGGTCTGTCAGCAGTAATGTAATCTGAGCTGTGTATGCACAACTCAAACCACATTTATGGCATATTTGCTGTACCATGGTGATGTGACTCCTGAGCACGTGAGTGAGTCACTGCTCCCTGGCAAAGATGGAAGAATTCAGGAGCAGTGGGAGCCATGCCAGCACAGCACTGGAGGGCTCCTTTTGACAGGTAAGTCTGCCATAATGTGCTAGTATGTAGTGCATGCTAACACATTATGGCATGAAACTGCAGTGGGCCCCTTTTTAACAAGAAAAAAAATTGCAGTTTATTACTGCTTTACAATGTATTTAAAGCCAATGCTTTTTTTAGTTTTGGAAGAAGTAGGGACGGGTTAAAACTAGGGTTGCATCGATATTGGTATCGATGTCAATACCAAGTACTTGCGCAAGTATTCATATTAGTGCAATTGCTCCCAATACCGAAAACAATACCTTTGCAGTGCGATTTGATCAAAGATCAAAGAATTGCATGTGATTTCAACAGGAAAGCTGTGCAAACCCAGGCTTGTCATAGTGACTTTGAGCCTATGTTCACACAGGTGTGGTGGGGTGAAGGGTTCCACCAGTTCCAGCTCCAGATCCCACTGTGGACATCAGCTGCTGCAGTTTGGGCTCATCCTGCCTCTCTCATGACTCTCTCCCCCCAGCCTCCAGCGGTTTCAGCCATCCCCTCTCCCCCCCGTCCCACTGTAACAGATTGCCAGTCCCCAAGGTCAGACAATGAAAAGCCACTCCACAGGTTCAGGAGTTTGAAATATTCACAGATTTATCTCCTCTCCTTGCAGTGCTGACAGTATGGGCTAGATGGCTTCTTATTGGTAAGCACAATCACATGCCCATACTGTCAGCACTGCAAGGAGAGGAGAGGAAGCCACAGGGATTTCAAATCCCCGGACCTGTGAAGCAGATTTTCTTTGTCTGACAGCGGGGTTCGGCAATCTGGTACAGCGGGACCGGGGGGGGGGGGGGGGTGAGGAGGGGGTCCAGTGGATGGCTGTAACTCTTGGAGGCTAGGGGGGAAAGCCACTGGAGGCTAGAAGGAGAGAGCCATGGGTGAAGCCCAAGCCACAGCCCCTGATGTCCACAGTGGGATCGACAGCCTAAGCTGGTGGAACCCTTCATGCAGGGAAGTTTCCCACACTGCTCCTGTGTGAATCCAGGCTCAAAGTCACTATGACAAGCCTGGGTTCAAACTAGAGCTGTGCAGGAAACCACATGCGATTCGGACAGGAATCGCACAGCATTCCTGTTCAAATCACATGCAATTCTTTGCAGTGCAATTTGAACCCATTCATTTTGTATGAACTCAAATCAGACCGCAAAGGTATTGATATTCGGTATCGACAAGTACTTGACTGAAAGTACCAGTACTCATACTCGCCGGTAAAAAACTGTATAGGTGCATCTCTATTTAAAACCTCTGTTAGCTTATTTTTTCTGTGTCTCTCTGGAAGGATTTCTCTCCTCTTTTTGTTCCTGAAATGCAAAAGGAAATAATAGGAAATCCCTGCAAAATGAGAATTTCTACCACTGGAATAGACCTTGACTTTTGAACATTTAAAGCATAACTCAAGGTTTAATTTACCTTTAAATAGTTGGTTTGGACCAAGAATGGTCTAAAAAAACTATTTCTTTCTCTATTACATGTGCCAGTTGTCAACGCCATATAAACTGTATGTAGCATCAATTACATAGAGTATACAGCTCTGTGTTCCGGCAGCAGTACAGGGACTTTCCGTCCTTTTTTTGGACGCTCATCCATCAGCCCCTCCACCTCAACCAATCAATGGAAGCCTTGTAATAATTTATTCAGGAATGGACCTGGAGCTGGGTGAATACTTTGCAGGAGCCTATGCATTGTAGCCTAAGGCATTAATTGCAGGTAAAATGCTCGGAAGGGTTAATTGCAAAAAAAGTAGAAATCAACATTGCTGAATTCTCTATCTACCTTTAAGCTTTAGCAGTGGCTTATAACTATCTCAATTTATAGTCTATTTTAAAAAAGAATCTCAATCCTCATCTGCTTTTTTTTCTACCCCCCTTACCTGCTTATCACATACCTGGTAGAAAAGCCTGATATGCTTAGAAAGGCCCCTCTTATACCTTTGATTCAGGGCCCCTGATAGTGTGAACCAGGGGCGGACTAACAACTCATGGGGCCCCCGGGCAATAGCTGATCATGGGGCCCCTGTGTCCTTGCCCAAACTCAAAAAAAGCCTATGAAAAAGGTACCAGGGGCATCTCATGGGGCCCCCTACTGACCCCAGGCCCTCGGGCAGTGCCCGAGCTTCCAAATGGTCAGTCCTCCCCTGCTGACACTCCATTATATTTGTAGGACTTGACATTCCAAGAAAAAACAAACAAATCAGAAACCAATTGTGAATATAAGTATGATACAGCTGTTAACCTGATGTAGCTGTTAACCAGTACAGCACCATAGGGCAGCAGCTGCAGCCAGTTTTTCTCTCTCCCTTCTTAGCCAAGCACTTGGCTACATACCCCCTGTTGCTTTCAGCAGATAGCACCCCCAGTGCCCGAGTTTCCAAATGGTAAGTCCGCCCCTGGTGTGAACAGAAGGCACAGGAGTATGCAGTGGCATGAGTGCCTGTAGGTCTTGCTAGCGGCAGAGAAGGTGTGCACACCAAGCATGAGTAGTTGTCAGTGGTCTTCAGCAAATCAGGCAGGTAGGCTGGATGGCAGCTGGTGAGCAGCAGCAGATTGAAGCAGACTGGTACTGGTGACAATAGGCAGGCAGGGCATATGCTAGTGGCGGACAGTAGATAAGCATGTTAGGCAGTAGGAAGGATGGTAGGCAGGTACCAACAACAGAAGGGTGGTGGGATCATACAAGTCAGGTCATACACTGGCAGACAGATCAGGTACAGACACGCAGCCAAGAGCATTGTCAAAGTATAAGCCAGGTCATGAGCTGAACGGTGGAGCAGTAGCAAAAGAAGCAGGCAGAAGCAGTGGTTAGAAGACAAGCCGAGGTCAGTACAGGCAAAGTTCAAGGAGTAGTCAGGATGAGCTGGGTCAGTAACTGGAATCAGGATACAGAATCACAATACAGTTCATGCAAACAGTCCTGTTCTTGTCTATCAAGACACTGCTCTCAATGTGAGTCCTTGATTACACAAAGTCTGCATTCAGGGACCCACGCAGAACACCTGGGCATCTGCATGCAGGCATACACAGCCCTCACATGGGCACATGCCTAAATGTAACCATGTAAAAAAAGCATTCGAAATTGTTAAAAATGTTCTATGCTGCCCCTTTGAATTCCCAATTTGACCCCACTAACGATTATAAAATTGGATGAAAGCTCCTAAATGAAATAAAATTATACTAGTATATATCCAGCTTTAGGTCCTATGCTGCAATGGAGGCTCTTTGCGTTGTGATGTGTATACAATAATGTCAAGCAACATAGTGTAATGAAGGGTGTGGGCAATGGGTAAAGATATGTACAGTACAGGGGCCCCCGGGCAATAGGGGATCATGGGGCCCCTGTGTCCTTGCCCAAACTCAATATAGCCTATGAAAAAGGTACCAGGGGCATCTCATGGGGCCCCCTACTGAACCCGGGCCCTCGGGCAGTGCCTGAGTTTCCAAATTGTTAGTCCGCCCTTGGTACAGTATGTTTTAAGAGTAATAAAGCTGAAATCAGGCAAACAACTAAATATTTGACGGCCAGCCTGCAAATAATGGTAGGGGCCATATGTGAACCTATTGTACTTACTGTACAACAGGCACTTACATTAGGGGCAAAAAATACATTTTATAATGTAAATTATTGTAATATAATACATTAAAGTATTCACATATTCTTACGAAACAGTAAAGGATCTTTAAAACAAGATATTGTTGACCTCTCTAGCTACTTTTATTGTGAAGCAATTCATTGTAAAAAATCCTGAAAGATCACCAGAACGAGTCTACAGCTTGGCTAGCGTGAGCATAGCTAGACAGTTTAGAAGCATTTTTGTGTTTTTGTATGTGTTATTTACACTCAAGTTGTAGTACACAACCATGTCTTTTAGGCCCCAATGAACTTTTATATCGGAGCCCCTGAAAAACTTATGTTAACACGCGTTTTACAGGGATGGCAGGCTGCCAAGATTCTGCCCTCCACAAAAAGAAAAGGGGAAACAAGATTTGATTTCAGTGCCTCTGTTGTGAATTTTAAAGATTAATTTCTTCACAATGCCTATAGTTACAGAGGTGAGTGGGGCTTCTTTTAAAGTGTTTTTGCTGATTGTTCAGAATCATTCAGAATAAGTAAATATTTTATTACTCATAATCTGGGCATAGGTTTACTTTAAGTGCTGAGCTGCAAATTAACTGCTCTCCCATAGCAAAGTGTTCAATGACTGCAGTTCCTTAAATGTATTACAATATCTTGGCTTCCATAGACTAGAGTTCATCTTATAATTATTGCCTTAATTTCCTGTGTAACTAAAGCTCCATACCACCCAACACACATAGATCTGCTGGTACACTGCTGCATTATCCCCAGTGGTTAACGGAAGCTGATTTAGCATTACTAATAATGCATTAAAATGTAAACTAAAGCAATAGAAGTGATGCTAAATGTGATTTAAAAATGTTTCTTCCTAATGTAATGTGGTGTCTGAAGAACTGAGCTAGAGCACTGCAGTTATCATTATTCTCTACTGTAGCTATTTTATATCACAGAAGTAAGAGAAAAAAAAGTAATTCTCAGAGCCAGTACGATAACAAGGAGCAAGTCTGCTTTATCTATTGGCATTAAACCTAAATAACTTTTCTGCACTACACATACTCCTGGATTGGCCTGTCTTTTGGTATTTATTGCAGAGGCATAGGACATAAGACGTTAGCTACATTGGCTGAGAGGAAGCAGCCATAAGAAAATGCTTCCAAATAAAAAATACCTGTAGGATAAAATTATAAAAGAAAAAAAAAAAAACTTTGAAAGGACTATTTATTTTTCCTCTTCACTGGGCTTCCTCATCTTAAAGGTGTTTATAATTAAATAGATCCTGTCACCAATTTACATGTCTTAATTTGAGCCTTTATTAATATATACTTGTGACCACAATTGTTTCCTGACTAGTTTGTACTCTAATTTAAAATAGTACAAAGTGAATAGGAATATGGCACTTTTGGGATTGTCAGAACCTGTTATTTGCCAACCCCCATCACCCATCACTATGTGACAACTCCAGGCAAAGCCTCATGCTGAGAATGACAGCGGGAGCTTGCTTGCATACAGTTCTTGAGAGAGGACCGCTTGTGTGTGGTAGTGGCTCTGAGAAAGAGGGGAGCTCCCCTCGAAACATGTCAGCCATCTGGAGAGTTTACTTGGTGACTAGGTAACTTTGGACTTTTGATAAGCTATAGATATCAAAATTTTTTTGTGAGTATATATCTATTTTTATACTATTAAAGTTTCATCTCAGTTAATGCACTAGGCTGGTGCGCCCATCTTCCCTTATTTTACAGTGATTCTCCTGGGTTCCCCACACCCTTAGAGGGCAGCAAAGCCTGTGCTGGCATTTGGAGTGCTAAGGACCTGACATTCATCCATCATCAGTACACCACTCTTGAGCACAGGGGATTCTTTGGTCTTCCTATTGTATCTGAGTTAACACTACTATAGGAATAAATTCAAATGGGACTTTGGATATGCCTCTAATAGTCAAAAATTATCAATCTCTTAAAAGTTTTTACATAATGTTTATTACAAAAAGGTTTTTAAAACCTGTTCTTTAGGACAATGTAATGTTTTGAGGGGTCACATAAATCACATAACCATATAAACATGCACAAGAAGTGCATATTATGTCATATATTGCCATTTCCCTTCCATCATCAAACCACTCTTGCAATATTGAGATGTATTCTACATAATTTTGCACCACAAGCTTAACCGCATATTTTTGATGAGAGATCTGTAATACTTTCATACTTTACCTGATACCTGAGGCATGACCTTCAGCTCTTTACCCTGATACTAGGGATTATATCAATTATTTTTGATGGTTGCATCAAGGATCATGTTTATGTAGATTGATTATTATGCACTTCTCGTGTATGTTTATATGGTTATGTGATTTATACATGAATCCTGTCCTTGGTACTCACCATACCTTCTTGAGCTATCTATATCATCACCTGCTTGTCAACTTCACTGTCTTGTTCAAATTTTGAGACTATACTATTCATCACATCTTTATGGGACTTTTTGCATGTCTAATGTTGTCCAGGTTGATCTTGCCATTCTGCTTTTGACTTCCTTTCCCCCTGGGTGGTGGTGAGGTAATTTTTTGTGTCATTTTTTGTATATTTTGGCTTATCATGCCATATATGTCTTTGTGATATTTGTACTTTTTTTACTGCAAATTAAATTATTTTTGTTTATTATTTGGTTTTCAAGGCTGCAGTTTGTCCTCATTTGAACCCCCTTTTTGGCCTCTGGGTCCTTTACCCTCTGGTCTTTTTTCTTTATTTTCACATCTGGGTTAATACCTTTAGGACCAAAGTCCCCCTAATCAGGGTTTGGAGGTTCTTCCCAACCAAAACTCTTTGAACCTCCAAATTCCAGTAATCCTGAGAGTACTAAAAGTCAGTCCTTCCCTTTCTAGTCAGACTACCCAGGAACCTCTCACCCTGCACCCCTGAGCACTGAGTATCCTGTACACTATGTTTCAAATTACATCTTAAATGATCAGAAAGTTGGAATTAGCCTTTAAGACTAAATCCGGGAACCACTTGCAAAAGCTAACCATATAGACAGTTTTGTCACCAGGCAGCCTTCTACAGAGCTGTTAGGCTGCCTAATGACAGGACTTTCATTACAGTTGTCTTCAAGTGGCTCCCACTATCAGTGTCAGTGCAAGGTTTTGCTGAGAACTGTAACAAAGATGATAGAATCTGACACTCAGGGGTGGACTGACACCTCATGGGGCCCCCGGGCAATAGGGGATCATGGGGCCCCTGTGTCCTTGCCCAAACTCAAAAAAGCCTATGAAAAAGGTACCAGGGGCATCTCATGGGGCCCCCTACTGACCCCGGGCCCTTGGGCAGTGCCCGAGTTTCCAAATGGTCAGTCCTCCCCTGCTGACACTCCATTATATTTGTAGGACTTGACATTCCAAGAAAAAACAAACAAATCAGAAACCAATTGTGAATATAAGTATGATACAGCTGTTAACCTGATGTAGCTGTTAACCAGTACAGCACCATAGGGCAGCATCTGCAGCCAGTTTTTCTCTCCATTCTTAGCCAAGCACTTGGCTACATACCCCCTGTTGCTTTCAGCAGATAGCACCCCCTGAACCTGACAAATTCATGTGAATGGGGCTGCTCTGCAAGCAACCCGCAAGGTGTGAAGAGTGATCTGAACATGGTTCAAAGAGCTAGTGTGAATGAGTCTCTATGCAGTTATACCTATTATCAAAGCATAAAATAATCATTTAGAATGTTCCCAGTGATATCCAATACTAACCCTGTCCCCGTTCCAATGATTTTTACTGTTAAGCCCTGTCCGAAGCCAAACAGTGTTTCTTCTAACAGTGTCCTTGATCGGTCCTCCTCATACTGCAAATTCACACAGTAGCTTCATTTATTCCTACGTGCAGAGGTGTACTCCATAGGACCACTCTAGTATGGCTCCTCATCCAGTGCACATGATCAAGATAAAGAGAAGACAAAAGGAATACTTTAGGAAGAAAGGATGTGCAACTCCTGGGAAGACAGCACAGTGAACATGTCTGGAACATGAGGAAAGGTAGATATTTCTCCTGGTGGGCTGAACTCAGGGAGTTGGGGCATGAGCTCATGGAAAAAATGTATCAAAGGCACAGATGTCCTTAGATGCTTAGCTCTCTTGGCAGCAGAAAAACACTAAATGCATGTAAACGAGGGACTGCGTTCAGCCGCGTTTCCCCACATTCAGCCGCATTTAGTGCTTGGACATTTATTCATTTGATGTTTTCTTTGTATTTTTACTTTAATTATGACAAAGAAATGAGCATATGAAGTCAAAGTAAATAAGCAATAGCTGTATCTTGCTAGCAAATTTCAAGCGATTCTATACTTACCTTCTCAGTGCAGTGGTTTTGCACAGCCCGGATCCTCCCCTTCTCGGGTCCCCCACAGGCTGTCCTGGCCCTTCCCTCCTTTCAGGTTCCCCAACAGCAAGCAGCTTGCTATGTGGGCACCCGCTGCTCCGTATGCCCTTTCACACACGGAGCCGTGGCTTAGCCCCCCTCCCCCTCTCTTCTCATTGGCTCACTGAGTGTGATTGACAGCAGTGGGAGCCAATGGCTTCCGTTTCTGTCTCAGACAATGAGAAGTGGGAGTCCTGGGATAGCCGAGACTCCAATGCACATCGCTGGATTGAGAGGGGGCTTAGGTGAGTATTAGGTAGGGCTGGGGGAGCCGCTGCACACAGAAGGATTTTCACCTTCATGCGCAGAGTACATGAAGGTAGGTAAAAAAACTTGAGCCTTTAGAACCACTTTAACATTTGGGTCTATGCCCATAGAAGCATTAATGTCACTTGAGAAGTCAAAAACAATTGATTAAAATAGAACTATAGGCAAAACTTTTTTTTTATCATTTTGGATAGAGTAAGGGAGGGTTATAACCCATCAGACTTTTTTTCACCATATGTGTCCCATTGCATAGATTTCCATTCACTTCCTGTCCTATAGCCAAACAGGAAGTGGGAGGAAATCCCTGCAAATTAGGGAATTCTTTGGGGACCCCCAGCTTACCAGAACTACATTGGAAGATTTCCCCTCTATTACTTTTCTAGGGACAACCCAAAATGTGGGATTTTCTTTTACTTTTACTTTCAATGATAATGGTAAACAGGACAAATAGAGAGGGTGAATATCCCTAACAGGGCACAAACAGCAAGAAACACTGACAGGTGTTCTAATCGCTCTCCACTCCATCCAAAACTAAAAAAAATGCCTTTAGTTATACTTAAAATGTCATTAAACCCACATGATAAAAAAAACTATCAATAAATGCTGTATCACATGCTATTCATACTCACTCAGTCACTATGGGATTCTTTTTCTGTATTCAGTAAAAAACCTGGTCTATCGCCCCATTCTGTTCCATGTCCCCAATGCAGTTAGGGGTTTTGCAGAGCAGTGTTGGCAGCTTTGCAGATGCTCAGTTTTCAGTGAGTTTCTATGCTAAGCATTTCCTCCCTGAGCAGCCCATGTGACTATAGAGTCCCACATGTAGACGTATACACAGTGGTAAATTACAGCCCCCACCCCCTCCTCCTCCTTCATATCCACTAACCAGCTAAACACAATGAGGCTCTGATAGGGCGTGACACAGCCTGTGACTAGCAGAAATCTGCCCACACCATGTTATTGCCAAAAAATAAAGATTTGATTTCAAATGTATATTTGTATGGCGATTTACAACTGTTTATTGATATTAATTATTTATTTGTATTCTGTAACCCAAAGGCTGTTTTTTTATTTTGAACATGTGACCAGCAGCAGAGGACTACTGTAGATGCTCCTCCTGCCACTGTTTCCCTGCCGGCTGGGAAAGAGCTGGGTCATGTGATAACTGTATATCGATTAGGAAAAATGGTACTTGAATGTGTTTTTTTATTAAAATTATTGCAGTGCCATCATCCACATACAGAAAGAGAAGAGATAATGTAAAGTAAGCAGTCTGTGCCTAGTATCACTTTAAAAGAGAAGTATGGCTTTTTATTTTTTTTCCCATTATACTTATCTAGGTGGATGCAGCATCAGTCCGATGCTGCATCTGTCCCCTGCCGGCTCTAAGGGTGAGAACTCAGCAATCATATGACTGCTGATCCCTGAGTTCTCACAGCTGCTCTGAGAGGTTTGGTCTCATTTAAGTAAATGATCTAAACCAATGGTCTCCAAACTGCGGCCCACATGCTGGATGTGGCCCTTTGCTTGCCTTTATCCAGCCCTCGGGTCACTATTCTCCCACAAATAGGAAGCACTATTCCTCGATTGTCAACAAGATTGAGGAACTATTCCTTCCACTTACACCAGTAGTGGGGCATAATTCCTCCTACTGACACCAATGATGGGGCACTTTTTCTTCCACTGAAACCAACAATGGGGCGCTATTCTTCCCAATGACACCAATGATGAGGCACTATTTCTAAAGGAGCATCTCCCGAATGGAGGCACAGACAACAGTAAATACCTGTCAAACATGCAAACCCATCTCCAATTGGCATTAGCATTAGAGCCGGTAATTGGCATTACTCAGAGGGGACATGTACACTGGTCATCAGAGCACTGACCTTCTGGATTAGTGAGAAAATGGAAAATGCCTTATTAGATGACTGAAAAGAAGATGAGTCTAGCACCCCAGGAATATTTGAGTCCTTCATGTGGTGCCGCATAACAGAGTGGGCAGAGGAAGCCTGGTAAGTAGTGGAGTTCTCATCCACTACAAAGGCCCCAATAAAGTGCTGCAGCTGAGCAGCCAGATAGTACAGCCTCGGGTTTAGCAGGGCTACCCCACCCCTGTCCTTGGGGCACTGGAGTTGCTCAAGTTTGATTCTGGGGGGCTTGTCCTTCCAGAGTAAAGTTCGAAAAATAGAGATAACCAGTCTAAAAATATATAAGGGGATCACTACAGGGAGTTATAAAGTTTTATTTTGTTTAATGCGTAGCAAAATTTAAATAACCTACTATTCCAAATATTTTAATTTTGTATTGATATCTAGTACAGGGACATCATACATGTGTTGGATTGGTAATACGTTACAGCTATATGGTGGATAAACAAGTGCATATATTTAAAAATTCTAGATATTAGACATTTTTCAGTACAACTATAATTCACAACTGGCGTGGGATGATGTTATTGTACAGAAGGGCTGTTGTAAGTGAGTTAGACCCCTTTCACATGAACGTCCTGATCGGGTCTGCCTAACCGTTTTTCAGGAGAACCGATTTGGAACCTCCATTCTCCTCTGTGGAGCTCCAAGTTTAAACAGACATGTGTCCATTTACACCCACCTACATCTAATCTGATCCAATCTGCCAAAAACAGATGTATCCGTTTCCCTTCCGTCCAGCGAATCAGATGGCAGTCAGGTGTAAACAGACAGACAGTCCATTTACATCTGACCACCCACAGAGGAGAGCGGGCTGTGTCCATCTCAGCTTTGTATAAGTGGAGCAAACACTGACCTGTCATCCATCAGTTCAGCAGGGATCAGCAGACAGATGACCTGTTGAGCAAGTGGACCGAAGGCAGATTCTGCCCCGTTTGAAAGGGGCCTTAAAGTGGAACTATACTGCTATCCAGTCCATCGTTGTTGTGTCCATGAGCTCGCTTACCAGTTACTGACATCTTCCGCTGATCTTCTTTTGAGTTTCCGTTCTAAAGTGGAATTTAGTTAAAAATAAAAAAAAATTAAAAGAAAAAAAAAACCTGCAATCCAGCAGGGAACACATAGCACAGCAGGGTATACAACCACCTGACACACAAGCAGTGTCCATAGTACCACAGAAGAGAACAAAACCAGCTCACAGTGTAGTAAAACCACAAACCATAATTGATTCACAGTAATGCACTTATATTCTTCAATATAAAAGCCAACATATCAGTACAATGTTTCCAACCAAAGATGGCCGTGGTCCGTGCCAGTGCGTGATGACGTTACACGCCATGACTTAGTATTCAATGATTTGGAGCGCCTTAAATTAAATAAACCTAAAACTGATCTGAAATTTAGGAGAGGTCTTGAGTCACAGAAGCGTACAGTAACAATATAATGGTACGCCCTGCACATTAGGGTGGGGGCATTGTCATTTTGGACTGTGAGCCTAATCACAAGCAAATGGATGGATTGCTACTGGACAATGATACCTATTCCCTCCTGAACGGTAAGGGAGTTACAGGCCATTGTTGAAAAGGGGTTCAGCCAAAAGATCATCACTAAAAAAGGAGAAATCTTTTTTGATATCAGTGGCCTTTGTGTGTCAGTTATTTAATATCTACCAAAAATACATAAAAGTTTACTTAACCCCCCTGGAAGGCCGATCATAAGTATAATTGATTTTTTGACTTCCAGGGTGGGAAAG